GTATGAATCTGAAATGTCAGAACTTGGATCCCCCAGGGAGTTACAGAGAAAGGAGCTTGCTGTGTCTGAGAAAATAACTGGACTTGAGAAAAAGTTACATTACTTGAATGTTGAAGAGGTAGGTACATAAGTTTGATTTCTAGCCAAATACTGGTTGATGACTTTTCTTATAAATGTATGGCAAAGGCAGTTCATTGGTATGCTTGCTCCAAAATTCTGAGCCCCCTGAAAGAGATATCATCAATGATAGTTGATGATGTTTCTATAGTTGCTGGGCTAGTCCCTTTTTCCTTGAGTCCTGTTTTCTTTTCGTTTGTACAGTTTTCTGGGTTTATTCTTTTTTATTATTTATGGATGTCTGTTACTACTGTTCCGTAACTGCAAAACATGATATCTTCAATATGGCTTTAGGTCAAAATGGCTAGAAAATATGACAGAGGAATTGATGATAATGTGATAGCATCTTCTTATGGACTGTTGCTTTCATTTCTTTTTGCTTGAAATATGGATCTTATGCAAATTCACTTTTGTTTCTAGTTCCAAGCCGATTATGTCTGCGTGTCTTATCAGCCATTCCTAGAGAATCTCATTTCTGATTGTTTGTAATATTGAATATTTTGTGCAGAATAATCTCAGGGAGAAGCTACGCAGATTGGAATCTGAGAAGAGTAATATAGAGGAAGAGATCGATCGTCTTGAGCCAGTAAAGGAGGAGGTGATATATTTTACATGTTTTCGTGTGTTGTTTTGCTAGGTTCCACTTTACTTTTACATCAATAGCTATTTTCATTTCTTTAGTTGGAGACCCGTATTGGTAAAAAGGAACGGGAAGTGAGAGTTCTTGAGAAAAAAATAAATGAGATTGTGGACCGTATTTACAAAGATTTTAGCAAGTCAGTTGGGGTGAAGAACATCCGTGAATATGAAGAGAGGCAACTTAAAGATGCTCAAGCACTACAGGAGAGGAAGCTAAGCCTGAGTAATCAAATGTCAAAATTGAAATACCAGTAAGTAACAGTTACTCCCTCAGGTCATTTAAACATAATGCAACGGTCCCACTTTTTGATCTGCATGTAGTTGTTTCGTGTTGTCTGAAACATTATATAGAATAGAAATGACTCGCATGCATGAATTGAACAATCTTAAATTTTACTCACATGGATGCCTTGTAGAAAATTTGGAGCATAATAATAATAATTTATGCTGCAGGCTGGAATATGAACAAAAACGAGATATGCAGGCACCAATTATTAAATTAAAGGAGACACGTGAATCTCTAGAGAAGGAACTTAAGAGTTTACAGGAGAGAGAGTCTGAAGCTAGGGCGGAAGCTGAACAAATTTCAAATCAGATGGAAGAGCTGAAAGCTGAGGCTGAAGGTATGCATTTGAAGCTTGCTTTTGTTCATTTTTGGTTGACAATTCAAGATTATTTAAAGGAGCCAACTGGGTGACTCTTTCCTGTTCATCCATGTCCTGTTGAACATGATTATTTTGTTCCCTTGATTTTTTTTTAATTTACCCCCAAGAATTTACATTTACATTCTATTATTCACACCTTAACTTGAGGAAATTTTCTCTTGCAACTCTATTCCCCAATCTTCCATCTAAAGAGCACTTCTCTTTTGCGATTCTTCCGTTTGAACCTTACTAATGTAACCTAGGGCTATGAGAGATGTCATTTGCATTAAGCTTTTCAAAAGAAAAAAAAAGCACTTAATAGTAAATACTAGACAAGATATCAGCAACTCAATGGAATTATCTTACCTAAGTTTTGTTAGATATGTTTGGTTTGTTAACTAAATGATGTTCTCTTCCGATGCTACCAGCTTTTATCGTCATAACAAACACAAACTTCTCCAAATTCTAAATGTTTCATTGTGTATGTTCACCATTTTAGTTGTATTGACCAATGAAATTTTCCCAATATAGACTGGAAATCCAAGTCTGATGAATGTGAAACGGGTATTGATGAACTGAAGGAGAAGAATGGTAGTGTTGCTGCAGCTTTGGCAAAGCTGGATCGCCAAGTGAAGTCAAAGGTAGGTCTTTCTGATACTGCTAGTCCTTTCATAAACTAGTCTTCAATACTTTTTTAACAATGATATGTCTGAAGCTTGTTAAAAGATTACTTGTTTCATTTTGTTTGTATTATTATGAAACCATGCCATGGACTTGTAGGAAGGGAAGCTTGTGCAACTTAGATCACAGGAACGGGAGATTCATGAGAAGTGTGAACTGGAGCAACTGAAGCTTCCTACAGTTAATGATCCAATGGATACTGGATCATCTTCACAAATACCAATCCTTGACTACAGTCAGCTTAGCGAAAACTACCTACAAGATATGCGGCTTTCTGAACGTGACAAACTTGAGGCAGAGTTCAAAAAAAAAATAGGGGATCTAGTTGCTCAGATTGAGCACACTGCTCCAAACCTGAAAGCGCTCGACCAATATGAAACATTGCAAAGGAAGGAAAAGGATGTTATGGAAAAGTTTGAAGCAGCAAGAAAAGAAGAGCTGGAGATAGCTGACAAGTACAATTCTGTCAAGCAACGAAGGTATTGGCCAAACATTATCTGCTGTACATATAGCAGATAGCATATTCTCTCAATCCATACTATAATTGCAAACATGCATGCAAGTCAATACCTGTTGAAGTTAGTACCTCTTTTTTTTCCTGGGATGCTTGTAGTTTTGTTGGAATCATCCTGCTTATTCATATACTACGAATGCTTTCTTTCTGTAAGAAATGTTTTTGATTATAGGTTTGCTAGAAGAATGATATACATTATATTGTTTGGTCGGTGGTTTATATTACTTTATTACCATAAAACACATGCTGAAATTACAATCCAATACTCCAGTAGACACAAAATAGATGTAATCTGATTACAGTGCTGTTGTTTTTGAACGGAAGTATCCCTTTATAATTCCAATTACATTCTGAACCAAACAGCCTTCTTTGGAGGCATGTTCAGTTTACACCATACTTGTACTCAAACTCTTGTTGCTCATGATATCAGATGATGCTGTTTGGTTCTTAGCTGATTATGTTATACTTATGATATTGGTATTTAGGTATGAGCTGTTCATGGAAGCCTTTGATCACATATCAAAAGGCATAGACCAAATCTATAAGGAGTTAACAAAAAGTCAAACACATCTACTTGGAGGAACAGCATATTTAAATCTAGAAAATGAAGATGAGCCATTTTTACATGGAATCAAGTACACAGCTATGCCTCCGACAAAGCGCTTTAGAGATATGGAACAGTTATCTGGTGGTGAGAAGACTGTCGCTGCCCTGGCATTGCTTTTTGCCATTCACAGGTAAATGTTTCTTGTAGTACAGTTTCCTTCAACCTGTTTCGCATAATTGAAAAGGTTGTCAGGTTGTTGCATTACTAGTCCTTTTAGCTCTGGAGTGTCACAAAGAGAACTACTTGCAGGCACTACACATTGCACTTGAATGGTCATGTAGGCACCAATTTTGGTTATAATATTGATATTGATGTTTGTGTTTCTCGTTCCACAAACTTTTATGAACTTGTTGGATCTGTCATGACCAACCAGTGGGTGTCATGCATATTTATCAGCATAGCATACGGGGAGTTTCGCAAGGCATATCACTCTCTGAGAATGCTCAGATCATTTTTTTTGTGTGATGTATCATGTTAGTATTTGTTTTTTTCCAACCAAGTGTATTAAGTTGTGTGGGGCATTCCTCAGTTTCAGGCCATCCCCATTCTTCATATTGGATGAAGTTGATGCTGCTCTGGATAATTTAAATGTTGCCAAGGTTGCTGGGTTTATCAGATCAAAGTCATGCCAGCGCGTTGATGAACAAGATAATGGAGGATGTGGATTTCAGAGCATCGTTATATCGCTGAAGGACAGTTTCTATGACAAAGCTGAAGCGCTGGTTGGTGTTTATAGGGACTCAGAACGATGGTAAAGTGCACTTCTGTTACCTTTGCAAAAACATTTTAGTAGTACTTATATTACACAGACCCTAACTCCTCTCCATCAAATAATATATGTACATGCAGTTGCTCGAGAACCCTAACCTTCGACCTGACGAAGTATAGAGAAGCATGAATCCACTTTGTTTGGAGTCTTCATGTGTGTGGTTAGCCAGTCTAATATTTTTAACTTGTGTATAACTGCTTATATGGTTGACGTAGAAACTCAGCTAGCTGAATGCTATTTGTGTATTAGTTATACTTTGTAGAAATTTGTATAATTAAGGAGCACCAAATGAGCATTGTGTGTGCGCACAGCCGCATTGTGTTACGTGCACCAGTATTTAAAAAAAATGAGAGGCCAGTAATGCTGTTTTCGCACGACAAGAAGAAAACAAATCAGCGAAGAGAGAGAAGATAACCACTATTGGGCTCGCTGGTTATTCCCATCTTCTCCCGTCGTCTGTACTGTATGTTTATGTAGGAAGAAAGAAAAGGCACAAGTCGAGATGTCACTGATGTGTTGGGGGTGTCCTAGATACCAGTAGAAATCTTTGACACATGTGTTTATATTTATAGCTAATTATTACTTTAGTGATAGATGATATACTTATCAAAAGTGAACCATTAGCAGTGACTATCAATTTTAAGATACGTTGGTTCAATATTTCAGATGTATTTATAGGGCAAAGTATACCGGTGCTTATAGGGATAGTGATTTTATTAAATCTCGAGATATATCGTTTCAAGGTTGTACCTGTGTTGTGAATGCTCATGTTTTTAAGAGAATACGAAGATGTATTTCCATTATCTATACAAAATGAAGACGTATGTATTTCAAAACGAGGGTGCGAGTAAAAGAAAGTCTAGTACTAGAAGGAAAGAAAAACAAGCATTGGAGTCGTCTCCTCCTCACCCTCACAGTATCATATCATCATGTGCGACTGCGAATGCGAGCCCCACTCTGACAGCAGTTGCTGTGTTGGCTAGTGATTCTTCTTCTTCTTACCCAAGCCCTCAGCCGAGAAGAGGAAGAGGCAAGAGACAACCCACTCCTCTTCTGAACTAACCCAAAGATCAGGTCGGAGGCGGAGGCAAACACGAGAAGAAGATGCCGCGGCGGCCTAGCGGCGGCGGCGGCGGCGCTGGTCCCGCGGCGGCCGCGGTGCGCAAGGTCCCCCTGCGGAAGCTTCTGCGTGCGGCGTCGGTGGCGTGCGGCGTGCAGTTCGGGTGGGCGCTGCAGCTCTCCCTGCTGACCCCCTACGTCCAGGAGCTCGGCATCCCGCACGCCTTCGCCAGCCTCGTCTGGCTCTGCGGCCCCCTCTCCGGCCTCCTCGTCCAGCCCCTCGTCGGCCACCTCTCCGACCGCATCGCCCCCGCCGCCTCCCCCCTCGGCCGCCGCCGCCCCTTCATCGCCGCCGGCGCCGCTTCCATCGCTGCCGCAGTTCTCACCGTCGGATTCTCCGCCGACCTCGGCCGAATCTTCGGCGATTCCATCACCCCGGGCTCCACCCGCCTCGGCGCCATCATCGTCTACCTCGTCGGCTTCTGGCTCCTCGACGTCGGCAACAACGCTACACAGGGACCCTGCAGGGCCTTCCTCGCCGACCTCACCGGTATCTATCTACCCTACCTACCATCGATTGCTTGATTGATTGCTAGCTTGCTTGCTTCCCAACTTTCGCATCGAACAGCCAAGAGGAATTGGAATTGGACCTCGCTTCCGCCACAAGCCACACCTGCTCATCTTTTCGATTCCGTCCAATTGCGAAACGTAGGACCAAACTTCAAAACAATTTCCTCTTTTTCTTTTTTTTTTCTTATGTGGCTGTATGTGTGGCTGTGTGTGGACACAACACAACAGCAGCCTGCCTCTGCGTATCGCTTTCCCCTTTAGCCTGCCTGCCTGAGATTCTTGCTCCGATGGATGCTGGTCGGCGTAACTCATTTTGCTTGTCTCCCTAAAAATTATATTATATATTTCCTCTTCATTTGTTTATTTATTTTACGGCCATGGTTTTTTGTTTGCCCTGCCAGCTGGCCTATTATTAGCATCAGGGTTAGGCGAGCTGGACAACACGAACCACAAAACGACATGACAACTCATTACACTGCATATATTTGAATAATTAGGGTTGGTACAAATGTCGCACCAATTGTTTTTTTTTCATTTCTTCCTTGTAGTTTTTTTTTTCATTTCTTCCTTGTTTACACGGAGTATTCGATGGTTGTGGGAGGGGGAGGTCAAGGGATCGCTTTCTGACTGAGATAGGAATATAGAAAGGAAGATATTTGAGTGTTACAGTACCCCTGTAAGTTTGGAATCATAGGAGGAGAAAGAGCATCTTTTGTCAGCAGACAGGGCTATTGTCTGAGGGGCCCTGGTTAAATAATTGTAAGGCTGGCAGTGGTTTGTAGCTGTGGTCTTTGTTATGCCTTTGCATTCTATGGGAAACACCTGATGCAAACATTACATTCAGAAGGCATGATTGTGCTTTTTGTCATGGAAATGCTGGAGTTCCACGGTAAATTGGTGATAAAATTGATATGATTGTAATATTACTCCATGATCTTCTGTTTAGGCAGTCAAATTCAGCTGGCACGATCTCCATTATCCAATGCATGTGGATATGTGCATACAAGAGCTTTTCAGATATTCTTAACTTGTAGTTGCACATGCCTGTCCTCAAATTTTTCCCAGTAATGTTTACACCAATAACCCATCTGTGCAATGTAACGTGTTCGAAAGGCATCGTAATTGCATTAGCATTTTTCCACACCTCGTAAATGCTCATTCTGATCCTTTCTATTTCAGAGAATGACCCAAGGAGGACTCGGATAGCTAATGCTTACTTCTCATTGTTCATGGCCCTGGGAAACATACTTGGATATGCCACTGGAGCATACAGTGGCTGGTACAAGATATTCCCGTTCACCGTTACTCCATCATGTAGCATCAGCTGTGCCAACCTCAAGTCTGCCTTTCTACTTGATATTATCATTTTGGTGGTCACTACATGCATCACTGTAGCATCAGTGCAAGAGCCTCAATCCTTTGGAAGTGATGAAGCAGATCACCCTAGCACAGAACAGGAAGCTTTCCTCTGGGAACTTTTTGGATCATTCCGGTACTTTACATTACCGGTTTGGATGGTTTTGATTGTTACTGCCCTCACATGGATTGGATGGTTTCCATTTATCCTCTTTGATACCGATTGGATGGGTCGAGAGATCTATCGTGGAAGTCCAGATGATCCAAGTATAACTCAGAGCTATCATGATGGTGTGAGAATGGGTTCTTTTGGTCTGATGCTGAACTCGGTCCTTCTTGGATTCACTTCTATTGTACTAGAGAAGTTATGTCGGAAGTGGGGAGCTGGACTGGTGTGGGGTGTCTCCAATATCCTAATGGCATTGTGCTTTGTGGCAATGCTTGTAATAACATATGTGGCAAAGAATATGGATTATCCACCTAGTGGAGTACCACCAACCGGCATTGTCATTGCTTCCCTGGTAGTTTTTACAATTTTAGGAGCGCCCCTGGCGGTGAGTAACAATTTTTTCCCTCCAGAGTTTCTTCAAGTTCTCACTGGTGTATGGTATCCTTATTAATTCTTGTTATTGCAGATCACGTACAGTATACCATATGCAATGGCTGCTAGTCGGGTTGAAAATCTGGGACTTGGCCAAGGTACTGTTCCTTTTGAGTCAATGCTATCATTTTGGGTTCCTGTACTTAGGAAGTCTTTGTTTCACATGCAGGTCTAGCAATGGGCATTCTTAATTTGGCTATTGTCATACCACAGGTATGTATTTCTTGCCTTTTTTTCTCTTTGTTTTAGAGTTTGATTCGTTCAAACATATGACTGTAACACAGTACAATTATGAATATTGACATGATTGCTGTATCCTAAAATAACCTGTTGATGGTGGAAACTTACTTAATTCATGGCTCAACCACAGTTATCAGACACAATTTAAGAAATGGTTTAATGGTTAATTGTAAGCTATGACCTGCCGTCGACCATGTCAAAACAACCATATACTGCATAATTTACTAAGTAGGATAACTAGTCATACTGGTACAAGTAAATTTGTTATGAAAAACAATGCTTTCACAGTATTGTGCTGACCTCCGAAATCATTTACTTTCGTGCTAACTTTGTTAAGGCACAATGAATATAATTTAGTAGTCATGGTGTTATCTTATTGACTTCGAGAAATCAAAAGCCAATTTACTTGAGTGAAAGTGTGAACTCAGGAATAATTGTGTTATGTAAGCTAGATACATTTTGTGAGCTACAGCATGAGAAATCATTCTCTTACAAATTTAGTATACTGTGAGTGCCATCATGGTAGTTGAAATTTAAAAGGTTGAATCCCTGATGGAAGATTACAAGTTCAGGATTGGCACAATTTGCCCTGATTTACGGGCTACAGAATATATGAGGGATTTAGTAGTTGGATGTCAACCATTCGCTTGTTGCTACTACAAAGCTTCCATGCTATTCCAGAAAATTACTTTCATACATTAGGTTATCGTGCATGTACTGACACTGGTACATTCAGGTTATTGTGTCACTGGGTAGCGGGCCCTGGGACCAACTGTTTGGTGGTGGCAATGCACCAGCCTTTGCAGTGGCTGCTGCTGCATCTTTTATCGGTGGGCTGGTGGCTATTCTGGGCCTTCCACGAGCCCGCATTGCATCAAGGAGGAGAGGTCACCGATAAGAATATTGCTACATATAAATTGTCGGCCATTCTTTGCAATTCGACTCATAAGAGGCACTCGGAACGCTATGCAGTGCATGGGGGAATTGTATATTATCTCCGAATCAAGAAGGGGATAATGCTTGCTTTCTCCATGAGCTATTTTTGCCTTTTTCATGCCGGATCATCATATGCTGTCGTACATTGGATGATCTTATGCTGTTGTACATTGGATGTTGGTCATTTGTAGAGATACTAGTGAATAAAAGTTGCAGGAGTTGGTTCACTCGAGAAAATTCTGGTCAGTATGTCGTCCATCTGCTGCACGACAGCAGTTAGGAGCCGAATAGCATGTCCATGGGTTTTCATCAAATGTTGTATCATCATTTGTTTTTTGATACGTTCAGACGGCTTCAGTGCTGTGTGAATATATATGTATGGAATATATCGAGAAAATGTTGTTGTAACATTTGGTTTTTGATCGTTGAGACGACGGCTTCAGTGCTGTGTTAAGGTGTGTGTATGAAATGCTATATATTGGATCGATAATGTTGTTTGGGTAAGGTATTTTGATTGATTCTCGATAGATCATGTCGAAGTACTACTCAACTGTGAAAAAAAAAGGAGTAATCATCATCAGTTGAAAATTTATTGAGATATACAGCTACAGTCGCCCTATATAGTCCATGTTGTTATGTGTAGGAAATTAAATGGAGGGAGGGCATGCATGGATTGGAATGAATCAAGTAAGGTGGGGGAGGTGGATGTGGAGTGGGACGCCGGGCGTTGGGTGGAGCAGCTGAGCCTCCGGGAGCGTGTCGGCCAGCATGTCCTTGAAGGCCTCCACCGTACCCTCGGTGGCGACGACGGCGGTGAGGAGGCCCTTGGCGTCCACGTCGCCGTTGCTCATTGGGACCACGTACCTTGCCCGCAGCAGGCTGGCCAGCTCCACGGCGTCCTCCTGCCCGGCGACGAGGGTGAAGTTGGCCGGGAGGAGCTGCTTCACGACGGGCGTGATTACCACGTCGGCACGCAGCGCCTCCTTCTCCAGGAAGGACCGGTCGTACACGCAGTGCGGCTCGTAGTACACAAGCCCCTTGGCGTCTTCCTCTTCTTCCTGGAGGAGGAACATGATGTAGCCGTTCTCCGGCCGCTGCCATGGGGGCCCCAGCACGGGCCCAGGGGTGGCCAGTATGCGGACGCCGCCGCCGTTGCAGTTGGTGGATTGCCCGGGCTCCAGGTAGGTGACGTCGCGGAATGGGGTGGGCAGCGCGGCCAGGACGGGGCGCGCGTTGGGGGTGGTGACGACGGGAAGGTCGGGGGCGGCGGCGGCGAGCTGGGCCAGGGTGCGCGCGTGGCAGTGGTCGTCGAGGCTCTGCGTGATGAGGAGCAGGTCGACCCCCGGAGGCTGCAGCACATCTTGGACGCCCAGGTTCTTGAGGCGCTTCTTGGCGGCGTCGAAGAGCCATGGCGCGCCGAAGTCGAGGTTGCCGGCGAGGATGGGGTCGACCAGGATGCGCGCGCCGCCGACCTCCCACACCCAGCTGTTGATCTCCAGGTATGTCAGCTTCACCTGCCTCTGCCTCTGCCTCTGGCTCTTCGTTACACCGGCGCTGCTGCTTCGGACTCGGACGGCTATCGCTCTGGGTCGCTGCGGCGGCGTGGAGGCGGCGAAGGTTCTCCGGCTGCAGCTGCTCCTGCTTATTAGCCGGTGGAGGCCGCCCATGGTGGTGGTGGTGGTGGTGGTGGTGGCCATGGCGAAATTTGCGTTTGCATCTCACTCTAGTGGTGCTCTGCCTCTGCTGCTGAGTAGGTACTCCACCTGTGGCCTGTGGGGCGCCGGCTACGTGTCCAAGTGGCAACCACCCACCCAAGACCAATCCTCCTGCTTTTACTTTTGACCGGCCATTCCTTTTTCTTTTTCTTTTACTATGATCGAAGAGGCCAGGCCGGACTTGCGATTCTCTCAAAAGGAAAAAAAAAGGAATTATTGAAAAACGTTCGACAAATTTCTTTCATAGCTTTCGATTTTTCTGCTAGGCTGAGTTCTTTTCTGTTGAAGTTTTCAACTTGTCACCCTCGTTTTCCACGTGTACATTTTTCAAACTAATAAAACAATGTGTTTTTGCAAAAAAAAAAAAAGACAATCTACACGAAAGTTGTTTTAAAAATCATATCAATCATTTTTTAAAAAAGATAACTAATGCTTAATTAATCATACGCTAATAAGTCACTCCGTTTTTTCTCGAAAAAAAAGTTACTCCGTTTTATGTGTGGGAGGGATTAATTCTCAATTCCAAGCAACTAACTCAGCCTTAGATGCGCTTCAGGATTTGTGATAGCAAGTACTTGCCGTGCTTTTTTATATATAGATGAGCATATGTTACATTCTACTAGTTATTAGTTATAATATAATTATACTACATTTAAAAGTTTTAGTTTAAACCGGTAAATGTTATATGGGTAATAAAAAGTAGTATCTATTTAGATAATGGTTATTGGCTAAAAGCTCACAAAGGTAGCTAGCATTAAATGAAATGGAAGATAAATAACCACTCCGCCAAAATAAATACTATCTATAAATGTATTGATACATCTTTCCATGAATTTTACGCTAGCAATGCGCCCACGCATCAAAAAGTGTTTGATGGGCTTTAACCGACGGAAGAAACTTACCCCTACTTCTCAAATTGATCATCAAATAATAGAATTCGAAATTTCTCAAATTAATCATCATATAACCACATGGACACGGATTTCATCAAAATACAATTAATGTAGTATGGGAGAATATGTGCATGCTAAAGTGTACTACTAATTGACATAGTGTTTTAATCTATATATGCATTATGAGAGAATGTGTGCATGGTGTTTTGATTGACGTGATTTCAATTATTCTTGGTCTTTGGTGCATAATATATATGATGATCATTTTGGGAAGGAGGGAGTATATTATAAGCTTTGAAATATTACATTTTCAATTTTTTAAAAGTTATCAGCCCAAAGGAATGTCAATGATCCACTATGGCCTCGTTCTTTTCAGCTGCTAGGATGTGCTACTCGTTTATCGAGAGCCGCTTTCAAAACTTCCAAACGACACGTGTTTTTTTAAAAAATCTACCTAGAAAGTTCTTATAAAAATCAAATAAATATATTCTTAAATTTATAATAGTTAATAAGTAGTTAGTTATGTGCTAATATCTCGCTGTGTTTTTTTGCCAATCAAAATAGCTCAGTAGAGAAGCCTAATTCAGTCCTGTTCATTTTACATCATCTCTTATGTCGCAAGGTCCACGTGCTTATATCATCTGGCCCATTAAAGCATATGAACCTCAAAGCATATCAAATGCTTTCTTCGTCCTAAAATATAAGAAGTTTTTGAGTTAGACATGGTTATTAAAAAAAATAGGCAAAATTAAATAGGACGATGTTGTGATTGGTTGAAAAGTGAAGATAAGAAAAAAAGTGATTGGTTGGTAAGATAATGTTGGTGGAGAAGTTATTATATTTTGGGACAAATCATGAATGCTACAATATGTTATATTTTGGGACGGAGAAAGTAATAGCCAAGTATTCGCATAATTTCTCTAAAAATATATGTTGACACATGTATAGCAAATCAGAAAAAAAAAGATGTAAATGACACGTTAATTTTTTAAATAACATTTGATCATTCTTTTTATTTAAAAAATAGTGTAAATATGTTAAAATAAATTCATATATAAAGTTCTTTTGATGATAAAATATTTCATAACAAAATAAATTATAGTTATATAATTTTTTAATAAAATGATGAATGGTCAAATGTTATCTTAAAAGACAAACGACATTATCTATTGAAAACAGACACGTCACAACATCCCATTAAAAAAGGTTGTAGATTACATAACCTCTAAAGGAAGAAACAAAAAGATAAGTTAGATAACTCTCTTGTAAAATTAATTAATTAGCTCGGTTGGCGTGGTTATCAGATCGTTGATCAGGTTCGTGATGGCGGAAGGAAGTTAAATGGGCGGGCAGACAAGACAGCGCCACCTACGATCTGAACAATGTACTCCACGCAGCATTCGGTCAAACATATCTCGTCACATATAGATAGAGGTGGGCTATATTTAGATATAAAGTTTGGATCCAAATTTCAGTCTTTTTTTATCATGTCAATTTGTCATACACACATAACTTTTCAGTCACATCATCTTCAATTTCAACCAAAATCAAAACTTTACGCTGAACTACATACATAACTTTTCAGTCACATCATCTCCAATTTCAACCAAAATCTAAACTTTACGCTGAACTAAACACAGCCGTGGTGTTTGAATCTTCTGAAAATAAAGATAAAAATTAAGTGTTTCATACAAAACGAGGTGATAATAACGTGTGATTAATTAAGTTTAATTATTATAAACTTGAAAAATGAATTAATGTAATATTTTAGGATAACTTTAATATATAAAGTTTTTGTACGAAACACACTGTTTAGTAGTTTGAAAAGCGTACCATAAGTATCCATAAGTTTATCTAACTTTTGTAGGAGAAAAGAACAGGGCCAGAGTCAGTCTAGTATTGATACTGATGTGGTATTAGTTTTTTAATTAGCCAGGGGTTGTATTTTGTATTGGCAAAATGCCTGCAGACGATGTTGTACGAGTATCTAGCATCAGCACATAGTACATGGCAATAATTTGCCTACAGATACAGATGCCGATCTGATTCCTTTTCTATTCTACTAGCGGCTCAAATAATCTTCATGTATTTTTCTATACTTCCTTAGTCAGATGAGATTAGATCAGAGATCAAGCGAGTAGAGTACATGGGTACTAAAAGTGCAGTTTACTTTTCTTTAAGATGCACTCGATAACGCAATGATAAAAGATATGTAGTTTTAACTCCAAGTTCCCTGTTCAATCTTTAAATGCTCACAAATTTTTTTAGAAAAATGCTTAGAAGGATGTCTTTTCCTTTAAATCTCGATTTTCAGTTTACCTTTTCTTTTTCTAGTAGACTATAGATTTGTACTTCCTATGTCCCAAAATATAAACATTTTTAGCATAGTGATAAGTTAAATATTTTTTAACTTTGACTATTAATAGTAAAAAATAAAAAAGATCAATAATGTGAAAATGATGTTATTGGGATTCATCATTAAACAAACTATCATAATATATACAACTCTTTTTATTTAAAACATCTTACTTTTATAGATATTGTTGGTCAAAGTAACATCTTAAAGGTCGTGTTAGAGTAAAAAAATGCTTGTATTTTACTAGGATGGAGGGAATAATTCTTTTTACTCTTTATCAAAATGAAACTCTGCACATTCTTGTCCAGATTGTTTCAAAAGAAGAGGAATGAGATTGAGATCTGATGTTACAAAGGATCTTAATTTTACACACAACACTGCAAGGCATTATGGCAATACCTAGGTTTGTTTGACACCACAGAATGAGTCTATACACAGGGTTCATAGCCAAAAAAAAAGCCCAAAAGTAAAGTCATGGATGCTAAGTGCAGTTTACTTGTGAACCTGAAGAGGAAAATCTATTCTCCGTTGTTACAAAAGAATCTTAATTCTACGCACAGCACCATGTAAAAACATGTAAATTCAGGCTATCTGGCCATGCAATGAATTCATCTGTTCTGACCCAACAGAAGGCGGTTCTGCGTTTGAAGTGGAATTTTTCATGGCACATGTAAAATGAAACAAGTCATTAGCATAGTGACTTTTTTTTGCCGAAAGGTTCGGTCGAATTGGGTGTAAAATCAAATGAAAAAAAAGCAGCTGCTAACTACAGTGTGCTGTCGCATCGGTACCGAACTAGCATAGTGACTTATTGAGTAGTAGTAATTTGAAAAATAAGTCTAGGATATTTTAAAGAAATTTAGCATGTTGAAAAGCATGCTCATTATAAATGAGAGGATGGTTGTAGCTGCTGTGCACCCATTGAGGATCCAATCCAAAGAAAAGAGAAAAAGGGGTGACAAAACAACAAGTCAAAACAAAAGGAAAGGGAGCTCAAGTGAGGAGGCTGCTGCATCTTCTTCTTCTTCCTCCCTTTGCCTTGGATTTTCCACTTGCACTTGCACTTCCTCCTCCTCATCAGTAATCCATGGACAATCCCGAGGCGGAGCCTGATGACGCGGTGCTCTTCGTCGGGGTCTCCCTCGTCCTCGGCATCGCCTCCCGCCACCTCCTCCGGGGCACCCGCGTCCCCTACACCGTCGCCCTCCTCGTCCTCGGCGTCGCCCTCGGATCGCTCGGTCTGTCTATTTCTCTCTCCCCCTCCTCTCCTACCACCTTGCCTTCTCCTCGATCTCCCTCACCCTACCTCTTTTTCTTATCTTCAACATTCCTTCAGAATTTGGCACAAAACATGGCATGGGCAAACTCGGAGCCGGCATTCGTATCTGTAACTACTTCTTCTATTCAATTACTTATATTACTCACTTTTTTATTGTACATATGCTAATTAATTATTACTCCTAAATTTAATTTCAGGGGCTAACATTAATCCTGATCTTCTTCTGGCTGTTTTTCTACCCGCTCTTCTTTTTGAAAGTTCCTTTTCCATGGAAATACACCAAATCAAGGTACTATATTTCTTTCTCTTTCTTCATGTGTGATGCCACGCGATTATTTTCTGTTCACTGCAAATTTTCTGTTTAAAAATCATTTCAGATGCATATATGGCTACTCATTGTTTTGTACTAAAATGCTTATTTTCCAGAAATGTATGGCACAAATGGTGTTACTTGCTGGACCTGGTGTGCTAATATCAACCTTTTTCCTAGGCTCTGCTCTAAAGGTATGTAACATATACATTACTAGTTTTCTTTTTTTTATTTTTTTAACATGTCCTGATGCTATCTAGTTCATGTGTCGCAGCTCACTTTTCCATACAACTGGAACTGGAAAACATCATTGTTGCTTGGTGGATTGCTTAGTGCAACTGACCCCGTTGCTGTTGTTGCACTGCTAAAAGAACTTGGCGCAAGTAAAAAGCTTAGTACCATAATTGAGGGAGAATCCTTAATGAATGATGGGTAAGATAATATGCCTCTCTACTGGTTCATTCTTTGATCCCATACAAGACAATCTTTCCTTGCTGCGCCTCTGCCTCTTCTACCCTGTCACCTGGAAAAAGGGACAATATGAACCATGCAAAAGTTGGATTTCTCTGGTCAATACTCAGAGAAAATTTCTACACTAAAACTAGTATCATTTACCGAGCCTTAACATTGAACAAATTTTTTTAGTATGAGATTGATCC